ACCAAAAGTAGTTGAAAGACACGTTAATTAATTACACAATTAAGTATAATGCTGGTTTTATGAGCTGCACCCTTCAGGCTGCTAGCCTGGTTTGTAGTTCTTAGGTAAGATGGCCCTGGGGTAAGTGCTCACCATGTTACACAAATATCCGCCACTTTTGCTTCATTGACCAGGTGAGGGCCACCATCTGCTGCAGGAAGCACAGAGCATGCACCCTGCTTTTGAATGTTTCCTTTGTCTATTACTGTAGTTCTTAAGTTTCATAATTGGATGGGTATCCATTTTCATAATCTTCACTGTTATGGTTTAGATATTAGGTGTCCCCCAAAAGTTCATGTGTCAGACAATGCAAGGAGGTTTGGAGGTGAAATGATTGGAATATGAGAGCCTTATCCTAATCAGGGCACTAATCCCTTGGGGATTAACTGGGTGGTAACTATAGGCAGGTAGGGTGAGGCTGGAGGAGGTGGGTCACTGGGATGTGCCTTTGGGGTATATATTTTGTCTCTAGGCAGTGAAGCTGTCTGTGTGCTTCCTGGTGGCCTCAGCCACAGGTTCTTTCCTCCACCACACTTCTCTTCCTTCACGGTATCCTCCCTCAGCCTGGGCTCAGAGCAATGGATTGGCCATCTATGGAATGAGACCTCTGAAACCATGAGCCCCCAAATAAACTTTTCCTCCTCTTATTGTTCTTGTCAAGATGTTTGGTCATAGCAGGAAACTAGCTGACTAAAACATGCATGTCTGTTACTGACAATGCCAATGTGAAGTTAAATAAGTAAAACAAATACTCTCATTTTAGGCTATAAGGGAGCATCTTATAACATCTTTTTAACTTTTTCCCTCCTTGTTGTTGGTGATATTATCTATGCTAACAACAAATATTATTTTTATGTATGTCTAGAAGAAATTTTTGTTTGGAGATAACTACAAAAAATGAGAATCAGAATTGGAAACTTAATCTTGAGTTCTAAGAAATGTGGAAATTAAAGCTGTAAGCACTCAGAATTACTTTCTTTGACAGAGTCATTCTGAGAAGCTGTAACTCTTGTGAATACCCACATTATAGGAGAGAGGCTTGTGTCTTGCACCCTTGACATGCATCCCATGAGGTAATCATTGTTTAACCATTGTGCCAATGAAAACAGGAGAAGCAGTTAGCTAACTTGCCATTGTCACACAGCTCTGTAAGTGACAGAGCTGGAACGTGTGCCCAGAGCCTTGACATCAGAGTGCTCCTCATGGTGCTTGTTTTCCTGATGG